AGGATCGTTCAAAATGAATAAATCTGTCGTGTAATAAATGTATTCAATGTGATCATATTTCGTATGCAATTAGGTGACTCTGTAAGATACAGTCTGAAAGTCAAACCAGAACAGACACTAAACTATACTTTTTTTTATGAAAAGCTTTGCTGGGCCTAACCACTCAGTTTTTTACCGCTATGAATGCCTCTCTTCCAATTCATTCGAAAAAGTATGTCGAAATTCTGCACAATGATTGAACACAAAGCAACAAATGAATATAGTTATGAAGTCAATATTTGTATGCAGATATTCATAACGAAGTAATATAAGTTCGATTTTTTTTCCAAAAGTTCCATTTCCTTTGAATTATCAAGTTCATATAAGGATAATTTTTTTCCTGGTGACAGCCGCACGTATTACTATGATCATTAGATTCGTTATGGATTGGTTATGGTATTATCTACCTAGCCATCTAGCAGTAGATACACCTTCAAGCCGGTTCCTTTTTAACGAGAACCAAGAGCAATGTCAATTCATTACTACTCATATCATTAAAAAAAAGAACTGCTCCCTCACCCGGAGGACTGAATTTGTCTTTCAATCAGTACCATCAACTCATATAGAACAATTAGAAAAACAAATAAAACGAACAGAAAACTCATGGCGTTAACTACTGAATCATCGGCAATATTTAGTCAGAAGATGAAAATATTCTTACCCCTCAACTGTGCACTTATACATGAAGGCACCAAAACCTTTTCAGTGTTGGAGTTATGGAATAACATCTTGATCGGTCATCAATATGGCTTTCGGAAACAAAGATCAACAGGCGACCTTCTATCGTATGTCACCCATATTTGGAATAACGCAATCGAGAAACATGAAGAGACAAAAGCTGTTGCGCTTGATATATCCAAGGTCTTTGACCGTGTGAGTCTTAAGTTGCTGGCCATACTTCGATGCTATGTCTTGTCGGATCATTTTTGTGTCTGACTCTCCAGCTTCCTGAAAGAACGTTTCCTGCAAGTGGCCGTCCATGGATATCTTTCGAAAATTTCAACCATCAACGCTGGTGTTCCCCAGGGATCCATATTGTCTTCAACCCTCTTTTTATTGTATATCAACAACTTAGTGGAAAAAACGAAGAATCCAATATATTGCTTTGCTGATGACAGCACACTTTTCTCGTCATTCCATTTGGATTCCCGGACATCGGCTGCGGATGCACATCTTCACCGGTAGCAGGAGATTGCATATCTTAATGAGGATCTATTGGGTTGAAATTAACCAGGTTCAAAATTGGGTTCAAAAACCCAGGCATCGATTAATGTTTCCGAACCAGATAAAATAATGTCAAGACAGTCAATTCCGCTTTCTGCTTCGATAAGTTTGTTGAGGGTTGAAATGGACACCAATACGTCTTGGCACAATCATGTCGCTGGAATTGCAAAGGCTGGAAACACTGTTCCGAACCAGAAAACTATACACACCTCAGCAACTTTTGATGCTTTATAAAGCTCAGATCAGACCTTCTCTGGAGTATTATTCTAATGTATGAAGCTCGGCCCTTGAGCATAACTTGAAGCTCGGCCCTTGAGCATAACTTGAAGCTGCTGGATTCTATCTAGAAAAGAGCAATCTGCCTCATTGGAAACACGAACATCGCTTGCGATCTTGATACTCTGTAAGATCGAAGAAAGGTTGGGGTTTTGTCTATCTTCTATAGATAATTTCACGGGAAGTGTTCAAGTGACTTGGCACATTTGATTCCACTCTATCAGAAATACAGTACGTATCAGAAATACTCTACGGACTGTGGCTGCTCATTGTTTTGAGCTTCAACTCAGTACACCTCGAACTTTACTGTTGAAACTCTTTCATTTAGACAACAGCGTTTATGTGGAATGAACTTCTTGAGAACGTTTTTCCAAATGAATTTAATCTCCAGCGATTCAAATCCAATGTGAATCGCTACTCTCGCACAAATAAATAACGTTTGTGTCAGTACTGCTACATTGCATGATTCGTAACTTTTTGTGTCATATACTCAATTTTTCATTCCTCTTTTGAAATTCTACGTATATGAATATTTCATATATACTTTGTTTTAGCATTTACTTTTATACATTTCTATATTCCATTATTTTTAATATTTATTTCATATATACTCTGTAATAATAGCATTTCCTCTAACTGGGTACTCCTGTTGGAAATAAATCGTTTTTTTATGTCATCATTGTCGTCATATTTCAGACTAATTCTTCGGTGTCGTCAGCTGGCAAGAACAAGATTCGCTAAACTCCGGGCTGACGTCCTGGTGAAAATGGAGCTGTTGGACAACAAGCACGTTCAGTCCCTTGGAGGACACCTAGTAAAAATAATCAAAGGCTTCTCTGAGTTACACGCAAATGTGCTTCAGTTGTTCGATGGGCCTGCCCTTTTTCCAGTGGAAGTTGACCTATCCAATAGCGCTTTTCAGTATAAGTCCACAACGCCAGTGGTTCAGGTAAGAAAAAGACGGCTGTCAAAAATTGTTCCTTTCGGTGTCAACGGCTATTACGATCAACCTCCTCGTGTTGATAATAGATTTATTATGGATTGGTTATGGTATTATCTACCTAGCTATCTAGCAGTAGATACACCTTCGAGCCGGTTCCTTTTTTATAAGAACCGAGAGCAATATCAATTCATTACTACTCATATTTTATTGAAAAGAAGAACTTCTCCCTCACCAGAGTCGGACTGAATTTTTCTCTCAATCAGTATCATCAACTCATATACTTGAATCTCCTGATATTCTCAATACCACATAAACAATTAGAAAACAAATAAAACGAACAAAGAATGCATATCTTCAACTACTGAATTATAGGCAATATTCAGTCAGAAAATGAAAATATTCATTCAACTCCACTGTGCACTTATACATGAAGGTACCAAAACCATATTTGTGTTGGAGTCATGGAAAAACATCCTGATCGAAATGACTTTCACAAACGAAGATCAACAGGCAACTTTCTAACGTATGTCACCCATATTTGGAATAACGCAGCCGAGAAACATAGAGATCCAAAAACTGTTGCATTTGATATTTCTAAGGCCTTTGACCGTGTGCGGCGGCATAAGGGTTTGCTGTCCAAACTTCGATGCTATGGCTTCTCCGATAATATTTGTGTATGGCTCTCCAGCTTCCTGAAAGAATGGTCCCTGCAAGTGGCCGCCAATAAATATCTCTCGAATTTTTTTACCAACAACGCTGATGTTCATCAGGGATCTCCAACCCTATTTTTATTGTGTATCTACGACTTACTGGAAAAAACGACAGCACACTTTTCTCGTTATTCCATTTGGATTCCAGGACATCGGCTGCGGATGCACATATTCACCGTTAGCAGGAGATTGCATATCTTAATGAGGATCTAGAAGTGATTTCGAATTGGGTTGAAATTAACCAGGTTCAATTCAATGCCACAAAATCCAGGCATCGATTTTCTCAAAAAAATAAATGTTTCCGAACCAGATAAAATAATGTCAAGACAGCCAATTCCGCTTTTGCTTCGATAAGTTTGTTAAAAGGGTTAAAATGGACACCAATACGTCTTGGCACAATCATGTCGCTGGAATTGCAAAGACTAGAAACACTGTTCCGAACCAAAAAACTATACACACCTCTGCAACTTTTGATGCTTCATAGACCTCAGATCAGACCTTCATTGGAGTATTATTCTCATGTATGAAGCTCGGCCCTTGAGCATAACCTGAAGCTGCTGGATTCTATCCAGAAAAGAGCCATCTGCCTCATTGGAAACACTGTAAGATCGAAGAAAGGTTGGGTTTTTGTCTATCTTCTATAGAAAATTTCACGGGAAGTGTTCAAGTGACATGGCACATTTGATTCCACTATATCAGAAATACAGTACGTATCAGAAATACTCTACGGACTGTGGCTGCTCATTGTTTTGAGCTTCAACTCAGTACACCTCGAACTTTACTGTTAAAACTCTTTCATTCAGACAACAGCGTTTATGTGGAATAAACTTCCTGAGAACCTTTTTCCAAATGGATTTAATCTCCAGCGATTCAAATCCAATGTGAATCGCTAATCTCGCACAGGCACCGCTCTTAGAGCGCCCCAAGGATATTTCTGTAGTGCTTACATTTTGTCTTAAAAAATCGAGATGTAAAAAATGCATACTTATCTGCGTGAATTATATACTTCACTGAATTATGGTAGCTGCTCAAACTGTTCCAAAAGTAACATTTTTTCATGTTGTTGTTGATGAAAACTTCTTCAGAAGTGCTCTTGAAATATTTGTTTGAGATATGGAAAAGACGTTTGCACCAAATTAATCGTATCATTCCAAATTGACGACCTAGTTATCACAGTTCTGGACAAATATGATAGAGTCATTCTAAAACTCACCAAATTGACCTCAAACTCATTAATTAGAGAAAAACCTTGATGTCAGTCGTAGCTAAAATGTAGTAGATTTGTAATTTCCAAAGGAATTAAAAAACCATCGTGACAATGAACCAAACACAGGTTAAACAATAATATTTTCTCCAAATCAACAATGACTCATGAATATGCTTCATAATATACAGAAAAAAATGTAGAGTTTGAAATGAAAAGCACTTAGCCCACATTTCATATGAACGAAGGTAAAAATAGAACAGTCATCTGCTGAAGTCAAATGAAACAAGACCAGTGACATACCAAAAAGACGAGAACAAATTCTGTTCGCCTTATTAGTGTTATAAAGGCTAGGTATTACTTCAAAGATCATTCTCAAGTTATTATAAATGACCAGCAAATAACGTGTCACACCTGAAAAGAAACTCATCTTTATGATATACTGATAAATGAAATCGTTAAAATGGAGAATAAAAAAGTAACCACAAACAAAACTTTTGATAAAAAATAAAAAATATTTTCAAGAATTTCGACATATGTATCTCCAAAAATAATTGAATAATGCTTGTTTCTGCTCAAAATATTGAGTTGTTTTCCTTTCAAGGGGAATGACAGTGACCTCTGGGAGCGTCACCATTAAAAAGGACTCCAACAATTTAATCGGCATTAGCATCGGGGGTGGATCTCCTCTATGTCCGTGCCTGTACATTGTTCAGATATTCGATAATACCGCGGCCTGCCGAGATGGGACACTCCAATCTGGTGATGAATTGGTTTCCGTCAACGGTCAGTCTGTCAAAGGAAAAACTAAAGTAGAGGTGGCCAAGATGATTCAAGCAGCTAAGGTAAGAATAACAAAGATACAAGACATTTCTTCAGTTTTTTTCATTTTCAATTTTAACTCTAAACACTTATCCCAGCGATGTTCCCATCTCTATATAACCCGTCCAAACAGTACTCAGCGTTTTTCTCTGCAAAATAATTGTTCACTTCATTCGCCGAAAATCTTTGTCTTCCGAGCGCAGTTTTTAGATGAGGGAACAAAAAGAAGTCGCTTGGAACTAGATCTGGTGAGTAAGGCGGATGGTCAAGCAGTTCAAACCGTAATTCGTGGATTTTCGCCATGGCAATCGCTGAGGTGTGGGACGTTACGTTGTCTTGGTGAAACTGGATTTTATTCTTCTAAAAAGTGGCCGTTTTTCCTCAATTTCTGCTTTAAGCTTGTCTAGTGATGATGCGTAGTATGCTCCAATAATGTTTCGAAAATAATCGATTCAGATAATTCCATGACAATCCTAAACTTTTTTTTTCATATAATATGACACGTAATTACCACCTGAAATTGAGGACATCATTCAAAATAAATGCACCCTGTGTGAAGTCATAGCTACCAATCTCATGCAACCCAAATGGTGAGTTCTGAATAGCAGGCATTCACAATTTACAGAATAACCCTGCCAGTCAATTCGATATCATGAACGATTCGAAACTAGAAAATACCAAACAAAAAAATATAACCAGTAAGTGGAATAAACCAAATCATCTAAAAGAACAATTCTTTCAGGCCAGTCTCAACTCCTTCCACTGTAGGTAAATTGACTGACACATATCAGAAAACAACTACTCCCCTGGCTAATACCACAAAGGGCAGTGGATTATATCCGACAGATGTCAGTGCAGGATTCTTCATTAAAGTTATTCCTGCATATGCTGTTGGCGATACAACTGCCGCAATAGATTTTCAATTATTGAAACACACTTGCAGATTCGAGCTGTTTGGCCACTCTTCAGTGCAAGGTAGTGTATATCGACAACATAAAGTCGATTATTTCCGATAATTGAAAATCGAATTCTTTCAGAGTATCATTCCTCGAATTAAGCTGAAGCAGACAACAAACAACAGGTTTCTCATCGCCCCATCTGCCTGTGAACGAGGCAATCAACTACATATCCGAAATTTCCCCAATTCCTCGTATAAGAGAAACTGTATTGAAGTTCAAACAAAGTTTATGAACTTTGCCAATATTCGGGTTATCAAACTAACTTTAAACTTTAATATCAGCACGATAATTCTGCTGGAAAGATACTAAAATGGTTATAGTTTCAATCTTTACGTTGTCATATTTCCAAACTCCATAATCCAAAAAGCAAGACTACAAAAAAATAGAATAACCTCGATGGTTAATTTTCATGATTATGTTCATTACTCATCTAAAATTCACACCAATTAGGGATTATCTTTGTAATACCCTCATCGAATTTCCATTATTTCCACTATTCTCCTTCGTCTCCTGGAAAAAAGCTTTTTGGCTTTCTATTTCTCCACCTTCATCAAAAATTGTGTGATACTTTCAAAAAACAAAAGGAAGCAATTGTCAATAACAATAAACAAATATTACTGGAGTTTTACCACAACACCAAATCGTTATTTTCAACACCTCGACACGTTTTTCAGTCACCAAGTGATTATCTTCAAGAGGAAGATTGAACTTTACTCTTGAATGTTATGTTGTCATATCTACAAATTCCTTATAATCCAAAAACGAGAACTACAGAATAACAGTTCATTTTTCCTCTTGAAGATGATCACTTGGTGATTGAAACACGTGTCGAGGTGTTAAAAATGACGGTTTGGTGTTGGGATATTACATTGGTAATATTCAAGCAATAGTTGGAATTGAAACAGATAACATCTACGAGTGTTCGAAGAGTAAAGTGGATAAGTAAAAGTGATTTTCTTGTAATTTGATATTTATATATTTGATAGTGATAATTTCGATTGGACTGTTTTTTTTCCAATTTGCATATTGACGAAACTTTTGTGCATGATCTACAAATCTTGAGAAATTGTTTATTATGAACTAAATTGCTTTCTACCTTTTTACGAAAGTTTCCACATTTTTCTCTAAAGATGGAGACATCCAAAAAGCTCCTAAAAATTCTTTCAAATTTAAAATTTTATCTTATTTTGAAGGATGAAGTGATTATCAACTACAACAAACTTCATGCTGATCCCCAACAAGGAAAAAGTCTGGATATCGTCTTGAAGAAAATGAAACACCGGTTGGTAGAGAATATGAGCTCATCCACAGCAGATGCCTTGGGCCTTTCTAGGGCCATTTTATGTAACGACACTCTGGTGAAGAAAATGCAGGAGTTGCAAGACACTGAGCTCATGTATCGTGGATTAGTCGATCACTGCAAGAGAGTTCTACAGGTATTTTGAAAAATGGACAATGTACCAGTATACAATATACACATTATTATTCGTATAATTCCACCCGAATTTTCAAAATAAATCATTATGTACAATTATTTCAAACGATATAATTCAGTAAGAAGCAATGTTTTTTGAAAACTTCCTATCCATAATTGGAAGAAGTTGAAAGATCATTGAATAATATACTTTACAAATTAAAAACAATATCAAAAAATTCTCAAAACCGTTTCTAAGATAGAAAGGGGGAAATAAGATGACACAAAGAAGAACTCACCTCTATGTACTCCAATGAACAAATTAAATAGCAAACCCTTACTTATGACAGATCATCGAAGAGCCTATGAAACATGTTCAATGATACAAATAATGAATGTACAGGATGCATCAATAATTGTGAAACTTGACAATTTTCTATAAAGTTATGTTTCATTATAAGCTTGTTGGAAATGTCAATCAACGCAAGTTGAGTTTTATGAACAACAGACGTTAAGTCTGGTAACCTAACTGGCCACTGAATAGAACATTTCCTTCCAATACATTTGTTTGGATTATTAGTATCCAAGCAGTGCCTTACTGCAGTTCTAGACTTCCACCTCGTTGAAAATCTAAAACTAGAATACCTTGGTCAGACCTTCCGTTCTCTAATTCATGCATATTTGAAGGTTCGATGATGTTTTTCCGTAGGTATACCCAGATAAATTCTGCCACTTGAATTTCTTGGTTTATTCATCGCTGAAAAAAATATTTTCATTAGTGTAGCTTCAGCACGACTTCTTTGTGTCATGTTTTCACCAAACTCAGTTGTTCAATTATAGGTCATTCCTGTTATTATATATCAATAATATTCTGTGAATATACACATTAGCAAGTGTAAGTATCTCATGCACTCTGGAATAATTACTGCGAGACATTCTGTAACGAAGACCAAACAATGTACGAATAGCTCGTTTTAAATCAAGAATGTGGTTTGCACATGGGTTGACATACTGTAGCAAAATGTGTAACTGATTATGCTCTTCATCATTAATATCAATAAAAAGTCTAATTATCACTTCTAAATGTGGTTTTCAGGCTCATATGGAACTTCTTCAAGCAGTGAAAGCAATGGGGGATGTTTTTGCTGGACTCGCAGTCAGAGAACCACAACCGAGGGCGAGTGAAGCTTTTCGACTTTTTGGGGAGCAGCATAGGACTATGGAAAAGTATGGAATTGACATGGTGAAGAAAGTCAAACCAGTAAGTATAATATTGAACCACGGGCAGGGAAAACTCTGCATTCATATTTGAACAGCACTTAGACCACATGTGACCCATTGTACATCCTCCCGAAGAGTTATCTTCCTAGGTCATCGTCCATCCTGTCCTTTCCAGGAAGGTGAACAGGTCACTAGGAGTAATCTTCTTTATATTTCATTACATTACTGTCGTTGCGCGGCTTCTTCAACCTTCTTGTGGTTCTCTCCGTAGAGGAGCACAAGTGAGGGAGCTTTCATGCAGGGGCAGCCGGTTCCTTGCCATTATTCAAGGCGGAGCTCTTGGTGCCCGCCGCAGGAAGTGTCCTTGCTGTTGGAGGTGATCTGCTATGTCCAGCCTCCTTTCAACAGTAGATTGGAGTGGACATTTCTGTTCATCCTCAGCCACCGCCTTAGATTGAGGTGAGCACTTCTGTCCAGTCTTGGGATTGGTTTTTGTTGTTTCTGTTGTTTCCTTCATGTGTGTTCTCACGAGTAGCAAGAGAAGAGTTGGTCACCTCTGGCAGAGCTCCCCGTTACCAGAGGTAGGCTGATTACATTGAGGTTTCGCCCAGTTCCCCAAGGGGATCGTTCGTGACCGCATATCACCCCGCGACTTGGGTAGGCTGCTCCACGGTGCTCCACCCTACTTATTTCTGCCAGTGACCAGGAGTCCGGCGACCTCGTCCGTAAGGCCACATTGGCTTACCGGACTAGGCCTCCAGTCTCCTGGCCGTTCCCCTGGGGACGCGCCCGATAGGTAGCCCAACCCACGGGGAACTCGTACGTTATTCATTCTGAGCTTTATGAAACTGTAACACGTGTTTTTGTTTACACACTCTTCAAGTTCAAGTATAAAGTTACCTATATAGGTTGAAGCAACTTATATTGCTTGATAAAAAAGTAAAAATTGATTCGATACACTACTTCTCAAATATCGATGAATATCTATAAAAACCAAAGAAAGTTCACTAAGTGCCTCATCCCATACATACATTCAAAAGAAGTTTTCGTGGGGGAGCCTGCTTGATATATATGAAAGCAGACTACCAAAACCATAATCAAGCAGCGGATTCATCCTCATGAGGTTTACACCAAAGAATAGCTGCATCCTGTTGAAAATTTTCATTTTGAATTTTGCAGGTTCTGTCCGATATGGGAACATATCTCTACAAAGCTATACCAGACACAAGATTAACCGTGAAAAAATATGCAGACGCCAAATTCGAATATTTAGCATACTGTTTGAAAGTAAAGGAAATGGATGACGAGGAATGTAGCTATGCTTCTCTACAGGAACCATTATATAGGGTCGAAACGGGAAATTATGAATATAGGTAAGTTGAGGCAATCATAAATCAATTTTTTTTTTGAACAAACTATCAATGAGTTTACGTACAGCGCCATCTGCCCGCGAATAGATCAAGCAATAATTGATAGTTACTTACAGCGCCATCTGCCCGTGAATAGATCAAGAAATATCAAGGAGGTTACATACAGCGCCATTTACCCGCAAATAGATCAAGCATTATTGCTTGATCCGATAATTCTGTCAATACACATCTCGAGCTTGAGAGTTACAAGCAAACAAACATACATACATACGTACCTACGGATGAAGCTAATAAATGAAAAAATGTTTTGTTTTCTGTAATAGATGACCTCGGTTCATTCCACCTCTAGAATGTTACATTATCAGTGAGTAACATGAGCTATATTTCGTTTTCATAAAAATCAGAGATCCTTTCGAAAATAGCAATAATGTAATACAACATATAGAAAGTTTGCCTATGAAAGACACTTATTTTGCATATGCGCCGAATAGAGTAGCTGATACATTATAACTCTGAAATGCATTCCTAGGCTGTCTAAGAAAACTATTTTGTGCTTGATATTTTCAATCACAGCAAGTTATATTATAAAGTTCTCGTAGAATTTGGTATCATTCGCATAATAGGCAACATGGATTCATTCAAAGGTAGAATTGTTCTCTACCCAATGTTGAGTGACACCAAACTTCTATGAGAGCAAATATGTGAAATGTGTTCCTTGTAGCGAACTATGATAGTCCTCTCAGTTTGACCAACATACTTTTTATCGCACTCCTTTCAGTTTGTTTCGTAAATCCGGAGCATCGCACAGGAATTGTTGCCTAAACCATTGTCCAATCTTCCTAATGGAAGAGCCCAGGAAAGCCAATACCGAAAATCGCAGGCTATGTTCGATCTAATGTCAAGGTTTTGCTCAATATTTTTTTTACATTATCGTTGCGGGGTGCAACAGGAGTTCTTGGCACATAGTCATAAGCTTTATGAGGAGTATTATCTTTGAAGTTCAGCGCAGCTGGCGAGAAGAAATACGAAGAAATCGTCCGGTATCTTGAAGAAACAATTCATGGCTTTTGCAACGCGATAATGCACCTGCTCACTCCTCATTGCTTGTTCGTAATTTTTTGACCAAAAGCAACAAGTCATCATGTCTCAATCACAATATTCACCATACTTAGCCCCATGTGACTTTTTTGTGTCTAGAAAATTGAAGAGACCCATGAAAGGACGGTGTTTTGCGACGATTGAGGAGAAAAAAAACGAATTATTAAGAGAGCTCAAGGACATACCAAAAAGTGCATTTCAGAACTGCTTGAATTGGAAAAACCCTGGCATAAGTGTGGTGCATCTAACGGGGACTTTTTTGAAGCAGACAAAATAAAAATTGATGAACAAATATGTTTTCAGAGAAATGGAAATTCACCTGTTAATTTTTGAACAGACAGCTTATGTAACTTATAATTTTTGGAAGAAGAGTTATAGTCCTTTACTTGGATGCAATTATAAAGTTAGTCTGCCGAATAATATTCCTGATAATCGTACATCATGGTTTCATTGTTATTATTTTTTTAGTGTTAAGTCTGGTAACCTNACAATTAATCATTTTTATTTAAAGATTATATAGTAGGGTACCGCAAGGTTCTAATCTTGGATCTCTTTCATTTTTCATTTTTACTAATGACTTGGCATCCTCTTTGAATATTCCTAACTTACTATTTGCAGACGACCTGAAACTAGTTACTAATTGAAAATTAGCGACTGCCAACGTGAACAATATGAATTAGATGTAATCAAACTTTGGTGTAACAATAATAATCGTCTACAACTGAACACATCCAAATGTAAAATAATATCATTCACAACAAAAAAGCGAACTCTATTGTACGATTATTCAATCAACAATACTACAATCAACCGCGTACTCTGCAGTTCCATCATTTTCCAGACTGAGGCGACACACACTGTCTTCCGACAGTCCAAGTCTCTGCATGTGATTATTCAAATGACAGTGACATGTAAGAAAGCCTGTTGGACATCGTACTGTAGTCCAACAACTGTTTGGAATCAAGCTTCGAAAGGTGAATAAACGCCTTGGAGTGAGCCAATCCTGGAAGATTCTGCCAGAAGTCCATAACTCTTCTTGCCATCCAGGTGTTAAGTGTTCGTTTGGCAAAGCCCAAAGCGATACCAATGACAGGTTCTGGTCCAATGAAGCCGCTTGCAGTACCCTCCTTTGCAAGAGAATCAGCAGCTTCATTGCCTTCCAGGCCAGTATGGCCAGGAATCCAGATCAGAGACAATCTGTTGAGTCTTCCTATCGAGGGGAGTCTTTTTTGGCAGTTTGCCACCAATTTAGATGTTGCTCGATGGGAGCCAAGAGCTTCCAACGCCGCTTGACTGTCCGAGAATATTTTTATTGACTTGTGAGTGAGGTTGGATGTATGTAATCTCTCCGCACACAATTCAATAGCGCATAAGTTCCTAGGCAGGTAGATAACTCTGTCCTGGGTCTGCAACTGAAGACACCTGCACCAGAACCGGAAGGTTTTTTGATCCATTTGTGAACCAACAACTATCTACTCTTAAAATTTCCTGGATCCTACCGCAGGATCCAGTCCTCTCTACTCGGGAATAGTACTTTATAAGGCAGTTCGTAGTTGACAGTTGGAGGCATAATGTCAGAGGTCATTTCCAGAATGATGTGACTTCCAATGTCAACCAACAGTCTGTTGCACTCTGCATTGAAATGAATTGTGCAATTGGCAGTGTACACAAGTCTGTATGTAGTCCATTTAGCCTCTCTCCAGAAAAATGTGGAGAGGAGGTAGATCTAGAAGGATCTCCATGGCCGCTGACGGTGTGGTACTGATGGATCCACTGATAGCCAGACAAGCCTGTCTCTGTAAGCCAGAGAGCTTCGATTGGGCTGTTTTCTGTAAAGCTTTCGTCCACTTAGCAATTGCACCATCCGTGATCATTGGTCTGACAATCATCACATGAATCCAATGGATTTGTTTATGACCTAAACCCCAAGTTTTACCACAAATCCTTCGACATGTCCATAGAGACAGTCTGGCTTTGTGTAAAACTTTTTCCAAGTGAGCGTTCCAGGTAAGTCTTTCATCAAGGACAATGCCAAGATATTTCACCTCCGTTCCAAATGGAATGACCACACCATTGAGGGAAAGTGGCAACATACGACAGTAAATTAACATTTATACAACACATATAAGGAATATGACTGCTGAGGCAAATAAGATGCTTGGATTCATTTACAGAAATGGCAAAATCTTCAAAAGCGTGGCAATGCTTAAAATTGCTATATTTTGCGTATGCCAGAGTAGTTAGAGTATGACTCTATGTCTGTGTTATGGAATCCAGTTTACGACTACCAAAAAACATCAATTGAGAGCGTGCAAATGAAGTTCCTAAAATACTTACCTATGTCTAAAAGTTGATGGTCAATACCCCACGAGAGGCATCAATCATAACATTTTGTTGACACGATTTGATATGACATCTTTGGAAAATAGGAGAGTTATCTTTGGTATGAAATTCCTGCATAAATTACTAAACTACAATTTTGACAGTACAGTTCCTTTACCCGAGATCAATATCTTAGTACCAAGAAGTGAAGGTCAACACAATATGAAATTCTATTGCGAAGCATCACGCACAAATGTTACGCTACGATCACCATTGAATTTTATATGCAGTAGCTTCAACAAAATCTGTGAACATTGCGATATTCATTTCGATTCTCTGAACGCCTTGGTATTATGTATCCACAATCACTTTTAATAATACTAAAAATAACATTTGTGTCAGTACTGCTACATTGCATGATTTGTAACTTTATTATTTCAGGTTTATTGTTGCTTAATATAATTGTTATTTTCAACTATTCTTTTTTAATTACTCTTTTTTACTTGTTTCAGGGATTTCAAATCATTTTATATAGTAGACAATGGAAGTCCGAACTAGTGAAATTCATCACGAAACATTGTCAATCACCTTCAAACAAACGTTAGGTTAGGGTTAGGTCCAAAGTGTGTGGGTCTATTCGACCCTCCACCGCAACCCGCAAGGGTTCATTGTGGTTCACACCTACTCACACTCGACCAAATAAACCCAGCTTCTTAACGAATCCGATTAGTTTGTATGGTGAGTGGTCTTTCAGGTCAGATGGTAAGAGTACCGCTCTGCCGAACTCTGAAAACCTGATTCGGTCGCCAGCGGGGCAGGCACAAAGTATATGCTCTGCTGTTTCATCGTTAATGAGGTAGTCGGATAGTCAAGGTGCACCTTGATACCCGCAGCAACCTTCTCATATGAGGGTTTTTGCACGTTAGCTACAACTGACGATGCCTTAGATTCAACCGTGCAAGGCTTTTTCGCCTCTGGTTTTGGTAAATCATCACATGCTCGACATCTATCTCCTCTGTAGACTCTCTCCTGATCTAAGTTTACCTCCCTGTAAACTTAAAAGTTATGTCGATAACTTCCTTAGCCACTCAGATAGCATCATAGCTATTCGTAGTTCCATCGGCAACGTAACGTATCAAATTTCGATTTCAACAAGATAAATATCTTCTCGAAGTTGGATTCGAACTCAGGACCGCATCATCGAAATCTGGGTACTAAACCACTACAATAACTCAGTTTCATGCAGTACTCAGTCAGAGACGGTCCTATGAAAAAGGTGTAAATGTTGAAAATATCAGAATTCACATTCAGGAATGAAATAACTCATATTACATAAAACAAACTTTCTTATTCGGTATACGCCCGCTGTTGCCAAATGTCTATTGATGGTTCTCACTGATCCTATACCAAAAATCGGCATGGAAAATGACAATATGTAGCTAGATTTCACTTGATTTGCTTCGAAGGAAGTGACACGCGTTCTCATTCATTTCCTGCATTTATTTGTTATTCAAAATCGAATATGTTCCATATTCCTCGTAAATTTGTTCCATATTCCGCTCTGTTTGACCAATATACTTTTCATCACAATCTTCATCACAGCTAATTTCGAAAATCCCAGACTTTCCCGTTCTCGTCTTCTTTTTTCTCGAGGGGCCAAACACTTGTTGAATTGTACGGGCAGTTTCAAAAGCCACATTGGGGTTGTCAGTTGTTATATTTTGTTATGTAATGAAAGCAATTGCGTACTCCTTTATTATTCATATCAATTTTCATTCTCTACAGGATCACGAATCGGATGAACAGGAGGTAGAAGAAGGTGAGGATCTGATCGAACATGGAAACAATCACCTCATCTGCAACTTGGAAACATTTAAGGATACAAACATTGAATCCGAAGATGTGTTGATTCCAGATCTTCAAACTAATAATCAGTTGGAACCCGATTATAATGAAATGGATAACCTCACCCTTTTATCTTCATTATGTCTTCAGGAAAGTCCCCAAAATAGACCGCTTTTACCTGACTTGGATTAAACATATATTCTTTGTTATATTTATATAAGTTAACTCCATGATGTGTATTACAAAAATTAAATCTAGCAATTTTCGAATCCAACAACTGTAAGTGGATTATTGTATGTTTGAAAAAAATACTGTTCATTCAAATATACATGGAAAATTCAGAAATTTTCATAATAATAGATAGTTATAATCGAACTAGCGATGATACTTTCATTATACACCAGAAATTACAAAATTTTCTAATAAGTGATTCGCTAATTACGTTAGCATCATCAGGGGATGATCAAGACTAACCTCTTTCGATTAAACTGCTGTTTTTTTAAATATTATTAGCATAAGTTACACTTCTAGTCAACCATTCCATTCATTCAAGTGAACTATCACTTCGATAGTGAGTATACTTTAATGAATTATCAGTATCAATTATCAGAATGATGTATCATTGGATCCTAATCCCTAATTGTTGTGTTATTACACTAGAAGCTACTTTTATCCCAGTTGTCTCATATAATTATGATGTGAAAACAAACTGTTTGGAATGATTATTCCGTCGCTGACGTCTAGAAGTCTGATACATACTGTGATCGTTTTCCAATACATGAAAATAAATATAAGGAACGTGCTCCTTCAAATGGGTTAGTAAAATCCACTCAGCTTGACCAACATATTTCTTGCATTGCATTGTTTCATACACTGCAGACTACTCAAATACCATCAATTTCTCTTTCGAATCGTTAACATTTTTCAGTTTTAACGCTTCTTCTGTGTTCAAATCTCCAACAGACATATTTGTAGTTAAAAACTGCTTTGAGTAGAAGTAGAAGGTGTACGAAGGCATCTGAGAAGGATAGACTTAACTTTTAGTAATTTTTTTTGAAAATTATTTACTCCACACCTCTATCGTTCTTTTTCTATGGGAAACTCCACTGAAAAAAATCTGATTCTACCAGTTCAGCCTGCGGCTTGAACCACCGACCAACACGGCGGTCAATTGAGTTAGTGATATTACATTTCGTGGAAAATAAACGTTTGCATTTACAGCAACTCTTAAATGAACACTTTGAAAACACATAAAATCGACTACTGTTCTAGTTCTATTTTTTCTTCGGAATGAAATATGTGGAAGTTGATGACTCATAAACTGGAATGATTCAACTACACATTTTTTTTTGTTATTTCTGAATCATTCATATAAGTTTTCACGAATGACAATTCAAGTAAACAATTGTGTGAAATTGAAACAATCATACGTTTTCATTATCTCAAATATTTACTCGAATTTTAGCCAGAATATTACACAAAAATATTTGTGTTATTTTCAAGTTAAATATTTATTCCGTCCACTATAAAGTCATTTTTACCGATACTACTTCAATATATTGAAAACAATGAAATTTTTGTATTTCAATTATGTTTTTATGTTGTTTTCCAATAAATTATTTTGCTGGTGAGATAGTTCCTCAAGAATTTACGATTAGTTTCATCATTGTGTACACTTGAGCTTGTCATAATTGGTAAACAATTCTGTTTACGAACAGAATATAAACTGATAGTTAAAACGCCATCACCCACTGCGAAATTTGTGAAATTCATCATACCATAATTACTAAATAGTAATGACGTGCTAATGTTTTCAGTTTCATTGAAATATTTCAAATATGTTTACTTCCCTATTGACGATAAATAACACTTATTAATTCTGACCTCACACCTATGTTTCATTGATTTGAAAACAAATTTCAAACGCTATTCTGTTGCAAATGACAAAATTCAGAAAATAAAACGGGTTGAGCTTCAAGAACAGAGAGAAATATCTGAAAAACTAGCAAATTGTTCATCACGATCAGGAGACTGCTTTTTTCATGTATTCATGTATTAATTTCATTACTCCAAATTGAAATTTGGGATAATGAAATTAATACATGAATACTTTATTTTGAAGTGAAATTGACAGATTAAACTTTCAAGATGGCAACTGGCTTCAAATAGCCCCATAAAAAAAGTCCAAAGGTGTCAAATCTGGCGAGCGGACTGGCCATTCTGTAGGACCCCGACGGCCAATCCAACGACCAGGAAAAGTAGTATCCAAATAGTTTCTTACTTGTCTGGAGTAATGTGGTGGTACTCCATCTTGTTGAAATACAATATCCATATCGAATTCATTAGGATTCGCTTCGACGATTTCAGTAATAAGAAGGTCAACAATAGTTTCCAGCATATTCAAATACAGTTTCCCTGTTAAATTTTAATCAATGAATAGAGGTCCTACGGTATGGTTTCCCAATATTCCTGCCCAAACGTTAATTTTGTCTGGATATTGGGTATGTGTTTCCCGGAAAATGTGAGGGTTGGTGTCACTACAATAACGGCAATTTTGTCTGTGAACATTGCCGTTTAAAAAAAATTACATTCGTCACTGAAACAGGGTCATCTTCAGTTAATTGGTGTAGCATTTTAATTTTGTATAGATGATACCTATTTCTTTTTAAAAGTCGCCACACAGTAGAAGGAGACACGTCACAAACATTCGCGACGGAATAAGTAGACTGTTCAGGATTTACTACCATCTCACCAATTATTTGTACTTGCTGTTCTTCCGGAATGAACAAAAGCCCTAGGGGCTTTTTATTATAAACAACTACCGGTAGTTGTGAATTTGGATACAAGTTCCCTCAAATATTTTCTACAGATAGGACGATTCGGAAAACGTTCATTCTTTCGGTCTCTTGGAAGTTACTACGCGTTGCACCATAAATGAAAATCGCTTCAATTTGTTCCTTCAATGGACGAGAATTGACCATTTTAGAGATTGTTGACGTGGTACCTTTCTACTGGTAAAACCGAAAACTAAATGAGAATATTCTGACTGAACAATGATGTTTATTGTCGTACTGAAATTTTTTGTCGTTTTCATAAACAAAAAATAACTCAACAAACCTATGTTGAAAAGTACCATTTCAGTAAAAAAAAATGTTAACATAGCCACTTTCCTGAAGGCAATCACATTACTTAAAAGGAAGAGTGTTGGTAATAGAGCAATGAAATCAAAAGTCTTCAACGGCGAGCAGATCATCAAATTCATTAAGAAAGCAGATAATAGAACATATATCCAATGCTGAAAGTAATTGTAACAAAATATTACGATATCACTTGGTTTTTATATGTCTTTCTTGATAATTATCAAAATGAACCTTTTCCTAGGTAGTTCATTGTATCCATTACACAAAATTAAAAACTATTTGTTACAGAAGGTTTTTGTGTTTTTCTGGAAACAATATAATATAAAAAAGACCACTGTTTCTTTTCACAATCACCAGTTCAAATATTCCAAATTCGTCATCTGATAATTGCCTCTCTAACCACAAAATCCTCGGTTGATATTTTGACGTTTTCAGGAAATCTCCGTATTCTATATCTAACCATTTTTCAGTAGAACCACAACAGTGTTTATTTCAGAAACACCAAATCACATATCAAGTTACTTTTGGAATATATCTTGAAAATAACCTCACCATGTTGGAACGTTGGAATGGAACTATGCACTAATAGTCTAGTATAATATTCAATTTTGTTAATAATGCAGTATCGTCAGCATCTTCAACCAACCTAATCATCTCTATGATAATGAAACAAATGTTTTGGTATATCTTTCATGAAGTTGAGGAATAACAGAGGTCCCAGAATGAAGCCTTGAAATACTCCGAATGTTACTTTTATTATCAGTGTCATTTCATTATAAAACTGTAATCATCTTCCTACCATATGAAGAAAATTCAAAACCAACTACTAACTTACAAGTCACAAAGAGTTATGTGATAAAACGAACAGTACTGCAAAGTTTCAACAAAGGCAAAGCAATACAGTCTAATTCAATCGAATACGTTTATTTTCTCTCAATGTTGGTAAGTTAGTATTACATGTGTTTTAAGGGGTGCCCTGTTGTAGTGTCTAGTGTCTCTTCAGGGGCTGTGTTAGTTAAAAAAATACATTAGTTGTTTTTGTGTCTAGCTTGATCTAGTCCTTGCTAGGTGTTTATGTATGATTATAGTGCTTTTGTCCTGTGTTGAGTCTTCTCTCTGTTGTTATAGGTGGTTTGTTGGTTGGTTCGGGATCTAATGAGTCTTGGGGGATAGTTAGAACTATTTCTCCTTCTTTGTTTGAAGGTGATTGACAATGTTTCATGATGAATTTCACTAGTTCGGACTTCCATTGTCTACTATATAAAATGATTTGAAATCCCTGAAACAACTAAAAAAGAAGAATTGAAAATGAGATAGCTGAAAATAATAATTATATTAACCAAAATAAACCTGAAATGAAATAATAGCAATGAGCTTTCTTTCACCTGATCGCCAGCGGGAACTCTTCGAGGATGTCCTGGAACCACTCCGGAATATCTTCCATGGCTCCTAGGAGCCAGACAGGGAAAAATGAGAGCTTTTTCCTGAAAATCTTTTTGGGCCCCCACGCGGCGTCCAGGGGGTAGCCTCCCCGCGGGGGCGCAAGAAGGATCCCCAGGAAAAAGCGCCCACTTCCCCCTGCCAGGTTCCCAGGAGCCCTGGAGGAAGAAACATCAACTACGAGGGTGATCTGAAAAGTTTTTGACCTCAACATGAAGCAGCAGTCGTAGATAAAAGCTAGTGAAACGCTAGACAGTTACTCACTAAAAATTCATCCATTTAGGACGAGCAGTTCTTATGTTACAGTCGCTTGAGTGAGTTGATGTGTTTTTATGAAAATGGACAAAATCGAGTATTGAGCTGCCATTAAATATTTGTTCTTGAAATGCAATACGCCTACGCAAGTCAAAGATAAGTTGAATTCTGTGTACGGGGACTCTGCACCATCATTTTCCGCAGTGATGTTTTGGGCAGCTGAATTTAAACGTGGCCGTGAGAGATTGGGAGACGTTGAACGTTCGGAACGTCCAAAAACTGCAACCACCGACGAAAACATCGCCAAAGATCACCAAATGGTGCTAGACGACATCCGAATAAAAGTGAGAGAGATAGCAAAGGTTATGAACTTGTTAAAGGAACGTGTTTATCACATATTAAATCAACATTTAGGCATGAGAAAGGTGTCCGCTCATTGGCTGCCGCGCTTGCTCATGTTAAACCAAAAACGTGTTCGAATAAACATTTCCAACGCTCTGTTGGCACAGTTTAGGCCCAATAAATCCGAGTTTTCGCGCCTATTGATCACTTTTTATGTTTTTGGGATAGTCATGGAGTTAATTCAACCGATTAATCGGTGACAGCTAATTAACGGAAAAACAGATTTTTAAAAAAACAGATAATCTCCAAAAAGGAAAAACCATTACCGGAGCTACTACGCATCATTACTTGACAAGCTGAAGGCAGAACTTGCGGAAAATTAGCCACATTTGCTGAAAAAGAAAATCATGTTTCACCAAGACAATGCACGTTCACACACCTCACACATGGCTAAAATCGACGAGCAACTTATTTTTGATCCCTCATCTGAAAATTGCGCTCGGAGGACAGAGATTTTCGCCGAAGGAGTAGAGTTCAAAGGAGACTATGTTGATAAATAAAAAAAATCTGAAAAAATTTCTTGTATCTTTGTTGGGTCGAAAACTTTTCAGCCCACCCTCGTAGATATTCAAAAAATTATATAAGTTGAATAACTACTCAACATAATTGAATTGAATTGAATTGAGAAATACAAAATGTTTAGTGCCGAAATATTTATTAACTTATTTCCCGAAAAATCTCTATGAAAATAAATGGACACGGTAGAGCGGCAGACCGCAAATAATACTTGTGAATTAGCAAACAACTGTGATAATACCACGTGTGTGAATAGTCAACAATGTGGTAGCCACCTGTTATATTTTTCACACAACATGCCGCTTCCGTATAATTTTGACGGTCACCAAACAAAAAAGGAAAACTCAGTGCACTCGTACTTATATTCGAGACGTGTGACGTATCATACCATGATCAAATAAGCTATGAACACCAGAGATAAAAATAATACTTTTATAGTCGGTGCGCCACCACTCAGGAAATGAGGAAGTTTCATTCCGAAATGACAAATGTATAGCAACAAGCTCTCAGGAGTTTATGATTCTTTCACTTCAAAATATGTCGAAAAAACAATGATTGAAGGCACGATTGAATGTCAATATCTGAACGGTATACATACATAAAATATCAATCATAACTAATATTGTATAGCAAATAGAAAATTTGCCGTTGTTTTTGTCTATATTTAGTTATTTGTTCTAAGTATTTGTTGCGCAATTCCACTGTTCTCCTGCTTTCCATAACTGCTTGACGTTTGTTTATTATAAATCTAAATTTCCTTATACAATTCTGAAGAGTTTTGTCACAGCAGCTAACGTTATGGCCGGAAGTATTCAATTTTTTCCTTATGATTTCAGTTATAGGAATCTCATTGATTTTGTAACAGTAGTATATTGTTTTTTTCAATGATTTTATCAGATGAACATCTAAAGGTTTTGGTAACCCCGTTTCACATTGCGTCTGCGTTTATAAGGTTTGTTTTTGACTATTTTACGTACAATTGAGAAAGAAATTTCGGATATATTTGATGTTGCATGTAATAGTTTGTTTCCCTCGAAACCAAACTTGAGATGTAGATTCTTATATAAGTTGAAACATACTCTCTGTGTTTCAATATTCAAATGCGTCCGAATCTTATTCACTGGTATCTCGTTTTCGTATTGTTCACCATCTCTATTGAAAACACTACACAGGAAAATGTCTGCTTTATTATCACACTCGTTATTACTATATATTAGTGCTTGTCCAAAGACGCCACATTTTAAACAGATAACAAAAATTTGTAAGTAATTATAACTGCAACAATATCGAGTTTTAATACTCAAATCGCGATCAGTTCCTGAACTGAACATTGAAGAAAATATCATACGAATACCTTTAATTTAACTTAATTTAATTTCTTTTGTACACATTCAAATGAATTTAAAAAAAAAAGAGTGTACTATTAGGTATTGGTCCATCATCGTTATTCATAATATTATTAGGTTCACTTATTTCTACTCTCTCGTAGGCATCTAAATGCCTGTTGTTTTTAACTTGTCTAACTAATCTTGATGAACTGAACAAAATATGATGGGCAATTGCTGAATTTTCTGATCTCTTATATTTTGTGTGTTAAGTGTGTCTTATATCTTATTCTAATAGAACTTTTTCACTGTTCATAATATTGTGCATCGCAGCCCTTACATTTAACTTCATAAATGCTAGACTTTTACAAATTTTTCACTTTGTCCTTTGGTTATCGTAAAAATCTCTGTAGTGTTTGACTTGTTTTAAATGCCATATCGATACCTAGTTCCTTGAAAATCATTCCAGAGTGATTCGTGTATTGGTGGTATGGAACTAAGATATATTCATTTTGGTTTTGTTCCTAGAAGTCGAGATTTTGTTCATTCTCAACCTTAACATCACCACTTTTATTTGTAACTATTGTTACTGCAATTTCGTCCTATATGGAAATTTTCAAAATTATACAATAAAACTTTCATTTCATTATATCAGTTTGAAAATGTTCTTATCGGAGGAAATTTTAATAACGATAGTTACAAATAAAAGTGATAAAAACATAGAACGTTTCATTACTCATTTTTCATGATGATCTACCAAGTAGTAACGGCTACATCAATCAATTTATTGTTATTTATAAATCTAGTATGTTCATGTTAATTTCTTCTTCCATTAGGTTGAAACTGTTTCTGAATTTTCATCTCTTCCTATATAGAAGTTTTAGGTTCTATCGAGCAAAAGCAGATTCGTTTGAATCTCCAGTAACAATTTCTCCTGTCTTCAAAAAACCATGTACTTACATTTCTCTTCGTGGTTTCAACATAGATCGATTTAGAGCTAAAGGGATCCATTATACCCTCGGTGTTACTAAAGGCCCTCTGAGGACCATTAGACATTTTTTTGTTAACCCAAATATCGATTTTGCTAGTATGGAATATTTGTACAAATTCTCGATAAGAAATGTAATTACAAAATGAATAATCGAGAAATACTGTAAAGAAGCAATACCCAAGCACCACCGTCATTATACCTCTGGCCCATATACTAACGTTCGGAATAATACTTTATACGATTACCCGAGCGTTCTGTTGACGCTTTGCTTAACTAATACAGTGTCATTCTCAAATTATTCTTGGCACAGCCCACTCGCGGTATTCGTCCATTAATTGTAGGTGATTAAAATAGTGTCAATTATTTTTCTTCTTCGTTTTGGTATTCATGCTCGATGTAGGCCATAGAGATGTTAGTGAAAGTGATGGACAGCGTTATACTTCAGTTCGTTTGGATCTGTTATATCATCTATAATGTATTTTGGTCTTTGGCAAAATCGTAAGTAAACTTTTTGAGCTTCTGAAAAGCTGGTACTCTATTAATATCCAATCTTACAATGCAGGTAAATATTTTTGATGTCTATAAAAATATATAGAATTGTTGGAAAGGGAACTCCCCGGGAGAAGTTATTTGAAAAATGTATTGACTGAATACTGAATGTAAGAATGAAATTAAAATTAGTCAAAAAAATTAATAACAAGAGATTGAAGTGGAGTATTTTTAATGTACAGTTTGGAAAGTATAACTGAAAAAATTATGGTTTGAAAAACTAAAATAATTTTAGTCAGCTCATTTTTTTCTACTTTATTTTCTTTTTCTTTCATCCCAACAAGATTTTTCAATTTAATCTTCAAAAAAGTGAACTTATGGTTGACAGTACAGATTGATGTGTATGTAAAGAATTGACAGTGACGCTCAATGAGAATATGAATAAATTTATTGTAACAATTAAAATAAATTAAATATAAAACAACAATAAAAATTGATCGGTGCTCCGGGGCAACTTCATTGGTTCCAATGGTGCATTTGCTTTTTCAGCTGCAGGAAAACCCGGAAAAACCTGCAGCACCACATCATCTGAAACAAAATTTAACCAAAAAATTGACAAAACAAAGTAAATTTTGTTGAAAATTCGGTAAAATTGAAAATTAAGGACTAAAGTTATGCATTATGAAATATGCTTGTGTGTTGTGAATTATAAATAGAAATTAATATTGGCATCCGAATATTTCAATTTGTCATGGTTACGAAGTTCTCTTCCAGAGGAAGAGAAAGATCATTTCCAGAGGAAAATCTTTCTCTCCCAGAGGAAGTTTCATCGTTTTGCTTCTCGCAAGCGATGCATAATTTCAAGATATTACTTCTTATTGACTGTACGACCGTGTGGCCGTACGACCATGTGGCCGTACGACCATGTGGCCGTACGACCATGTGGCCGTACGACCATGTGGCCTTACGATCATGTGGCAAGAACTCCTGATACACTGCGCCTCGGTAATCGAAGCAAACAGTTTGCAAAACCTTGACATTCGAAACAACTTGACGTAATTTTTTTGATCTTAGCTCTTCTGGACTCTTACAGAGCTTTCGATTGCGTTAATCATGACCTGCTATTAGGGAAATTGGAAAGATATGGTGTAAGAGGAGTTGCCCTAGATTAAATGAAATCCTATCTGGAAAATAGAGGGCAACGAGTCAGTGTTGGAAACACTCTCAGTCAGTTGGCAAACATTAGGCAGGGTGTCCCACAGGGATCAATCCTTGGACCTATACTATTTTTGATATATTCAAATGACCTGATGAAATATTCTCAAGGATTGTCAACTATTTACACAGTAGCGTATGCAGATGTCACAAATTTCATAGTGAAGGAAATTGATGTAACGACCCAAATATTATTATTATTATTATTGGGACGATTGGACTTTGGTTGCGATGTAATTACCGTATACCCATAATTCGTCACCGATCATGACGAAATTTGAACATCCACCTTGTTTTTGTGAACGGTCCACGTATACGTAGTGGATGGCAAATAGAAACTGTATAAAGACAAGCATACAAGAAGATCAAAATCATTGCACATTTTACTGGAATATAACACAACACTGTGTTAAAAGTTGATCATTGAAAGTAAATTTTCACTCCCTTCTTAGTATTTCTATTATCATATATAGTAATGTTACATGATAAGTTCATTAGTCATTCTAGACATTGTTTTTATCGACACAAATGATTGTAGTTGTGAAAAACACAATGACTAAGGAGGTGATCAACAACGAGCAGGACACAACAATAAGAATAGCGATAGCACACTATTGCAAAACCGAATATGTTACGATATCCATCACTTTGTGTGAATTTCGATGTGATGTGAATATTTTCTATTTGACATATTCAGAAAAATTTACTTGAGTGAAATGACAGTTCAATTGTTTCCATTATTCTGTTCATAGAAACTTTATTTAATGCATCAATGGCCTTGAACTTCAATCCACAGTTGGCGAATGCTATTAATAATATACTGCCACTTATTCACTTCATCAATCACTTACAATGAAGTGAAAAATAATGGAAGTACAACAATAAGAAAGATGGCGAAAAAGTCCAAAAAATATCAGATAACCCTTCTGAGAAATACATCAATTTTGATGTTATTGAATACATGAGCTCATGCCTTTAAAATATATTTATCGCCGGTTTCTTCGGAAATTACGTATGTTTTTATAAAGATGTTATCGAAACGAATCACTCTGAATTCATGTGAAGCGATTACACATTTTTTCATACTTGAACAACGATTTCCAGTTACAGACAATAATATTGGATAATTTCGTGATCATGTTGTGTTTTCGTTGCTTTGCGAAAATCGTACTTCTTTGAAACATTACTACACCAAAGGTTCCAAACAGTGCATCAGGTTTTTTCTTTAAATTGTATTTTTTTGTGACTGCTTGGAATGTTCATTACATATAGATTATTACCTATTGAGAGATAAACCTGTCAGCCAAACAAAGTTCCATAAACACCCTAATGTATTTTCAATGAACACTTGTCAATTCAATAATGACCCAGATAATTCACATAAAGGAAATATCCTGTTTCAAAATTCACATCCTCATATTCGCTTTGACCCAGTAAACATGATCTTGTCATATATTTTAGTCAACAATCATGTCATAATGATGATGGAAATATGTTGGTCCTAAGTCACAGACGAAATACATCCTATTAAGATATCATTAATACGTCTGAGTTGTGACGTGAAAATTGAGTACGATATCAGCCTTTATCATTATACCTGGTCCTCAATCCCAAAATTATATCTAATGGAACAGTGCTTGAACCTGAAATAATACACTCACTCACAAAAATATTGCATATTTTATTTTGAGTCTTGGTTTCCATGTTTATTTCTATTTGTCTGAATCTTTATACAGTTTTCATTACTAAATGGTATATGCTGAAGTATTTAACGTACATTGATTGCCAAATAATCCAGATACTGAACAATATTGACAAAATGAAACATAATTAATAGTTCAGTACTTAGTGTTTCCTCTCCTAGCTCCAATGATAGCATGCATCGCCCTGGGCATACGCCTCAAAAGGTCTTTGATAGTTTCTTGTGAAATTCGATTCCATTCTTCCTGTGCAGCAATTCATAATTTTGCTGGATTTCGTGCTAGTATATGTCTTTTTAGATGTCCCAAATATATTTTATGGGATTTGCGTCAGGACTGTTTGGTGGCCACTCCACTACGTCAAGTCCAACAACTTCAAAATACTGGGTGACGCATGGGCACTAGCATTATCATGCATTAGCATGAAATTGTCGAAACCAATGAAGCCGTCGTAAGGTAAAATATGTTCTTCAAGGATGTTGTGTATGTACCAACCAGCATTCATTCTTAAATTCCACGTCAATCTGGTTTTCATAACTGTATTCTTGTATGTTCATTCCAGTTGACATGAGCTATGGCAGATTGTATCCGTCTAGATTTGTGACGTGGGAGAAGCCTGTAATTGTGCGATTTCGCAAAGATTGAATTTTCAATAAATTGGTCATCTCTTGGCGTTGTACATCTCTTACGTCCTTGACCAGGCCGCCTTTTGTACTCCCTAGTCTCATTATCAGCTGGTTAACGGAAAAAAATTTTTTTTAAACAGAATGTATCGTTTCACGATACGAGAAAAGTCGATTGATATATATACAATATCCGCGCAATATCTTCTTGTCTATAATAATAATACAATTTGATACAATTTCGCATGAGCTCATCTTGCAGAATGATTTCCTCAGTCCCCTACTCTTCTGCATCTCACTATTGCCATTATCCGTTGCGCTCAGAAACACTCGAGGGTATAACTGTGGCACCCCCGGAAACCGGAGGCACAAGGTACCCACCCTCATGCTCATACAAGCTAATAAGCCTGATGTGGTCCTTCTCGACCACCAGAGCAAAACGATATTTGTCGTGGAGTTTTCATCTCCTGGCGAGACGAATATCGTCAGAAAAACGTATGAAATATCGAGATTTTCTTTTCAAACTCCGCAGACTCTATCCAGATCACTCTGTCAAGATGGTTGTTTTGATTATTATTGGAGTCCTTGGTGGAATGATGTCCTCTCTACTCTCGAATCTTAAAATCATACCGGCTTGCCGCACTATGGCAGAAATCTTAGCCGCACAGATACAGAAGGCTGTCATTTTTGGCTCACTGCGCTTGCTCAGGGCACATAATAATAAATATGCTTTACTGTCCAAAGAAAAGTTCTCATTGACAAAGCTTTGGTGAACATTTTGAGGAAGAAAAACATAGTCAAGTGCATAAAATCAGAATATAAGCTAGTAGATTGATAAAAATATATAGAGTCCTACCATAAATATAGAAATAAACATTTTGAAAGTCGAGTAGAAATAGGGTAGGTCCCAGTACTGATCCTTGTGGTACTCCGTTTGATATGTTAGAAACATCAGATACTGTTGTATATTTAATCATTTGACTTCTACCCGATAGATAAGAAGCAAACAATTTACGAATAATACCTTCAATACCATAGAGATAAAGTTTACTGAGCAGAATTTCGTGATTAACATAGTCAAATGCTTTAGAGAAGTCGCAAAAGACTGCTGCTGTAATCTCCCGTCTATTGATTGTCTATACACTTCATATAAAAATGAAAATATGGCATCATGAGTATTTTTGTTTGACTGGAATCCAAATTGTTTGAAACTTATTATATTACCGAAGTTCAAATGGTCTGTTAAACGTATTTTTACCAGTTTTTCAATAATTTTTGCTAACGACGGAAGAAGAGAAATTGAGAGATAGTTCGAAGGATTCTCTAGATCGCCACCTTTGTAAAGAGGAATTACGATAGAAGTTTTTAAGAACCAGGGAATGAACCCGTTAAAAATGAATGATTGATTGCCTTCGCCAAAGCATTTAGAGCAGTAGCAGGAAGATTATCAAAGATTTTCATGGTTAATCCG